ACCTTGCTGGAAATTCACATCCTAGACATGAACTAATCAAACACACTGAAATGAACAAAAGTAGGCGATCCTGCCAGGCTCTGAAATCTAATATGGCTTCTGTAAGTCGGCCAGCTCAGGAGGCCCGTAGGCATTCCCAGGGAGAAAAAGAACAAGGTACAACTATAAGGACACAAGCCCTAAGCCCAGAGAGCACTACACCACACTAACCCTTGCTGCTATTGCTAATTTTGCAATTCAGTGAGAATGCTTCATTTTTTTCTTTTCTTAGTTCATTGCCAACACAGGTCTAGTAAAAAATACACACACACACACACACAAAAAAAAAAAACCTTTCCCAGTGTCCAAAAAGCCTGATCACCAGGATTAGAAAAATAAATAAATAATCCGAAAATGCAAACACAAATCCCAAGAAGGCAAATGGTTTTACCACTTTCTGAATCAATTCAGAGTGAATAAAAATCACATTTTTTTTTTCTCCAAAGTAATTTTCAAAACCTTATAATCAAGGATGGGGCTAAGAGTTACTGACCGTTACTACCTAGCCTGTGTAAAGACCTGCTTATCACACAATCATTCAAAGCTCCTGCCCCTCCCCCACGATGACAATTATGCCTTGGAAGAGTCACACCTTCCCTCAATGGATACAGATCAGCTGATTACAGGAAACCAGACAACAGCGGGCAGGGATGCTCCCTGGTCCTGGGATGATAACATAATATGTGTGTGTACATGTGTGTATGCAAGTTTATGTGGGTGCGTATTTGTTGAATGTATGTGAATGCAAAAAAAAAAAAAAAAAAAAAAAAAAAAAGTATTTCACTAATCTGGACCATTTTACTCTCCCTTCAGGTTAGCAATGGAGAATCATCATTTTCTCCACCAAACTGACCATTCTGAAAGAAATATTTGTATACCAGATAACTTTTCCAGTTTGCATTTAATCACATCTCCGCCTTTGTTCCATAGCTACAGCTACATATTAATATTAGTAGAAAAACAGCAAATAGTGCAAAAGTTTTAAGAAAATGTGCCATTCCCACATTCCCAAACTGGTTTGATGCTATTTCCACCAGTGTGTTTTTGATTTCTATAAAATGTGAGTCTTTGCTTGCCATTTGCACCTATTACAATGCTGTTCTTTGAAATTGGGGTAAGCAACAATGTACTCTGAGTTAATGAACTAGAATTCAGAGTTACAAGGTCTAATGATATATTCATTGCATAAAGAATTCAGCGTAAAACTCCTATCACTGCTTTTTCTGAACAATTGCTATTATTTGTAACCTGTCACTTGAGTGAGCCTTCATGTGTCTGACTTATGCATGCCAGGGCTCCATTATATGGCATAATTTAATTCTCTAGGACACAAAAATTCAATTTACTTTCCTACTTACTGATACATGATTCCACAGTGGGTTACTATGCTTATAAAACTTGAGCAAAATAATCAAAGCACACCAGGTTCTCAACAGAACTGACTTGTGCAAGGCAAGGTTAATGCTATAGAAACATAAAACAATTATGTGGAAATTTTTCAAAATATGTCAAGGTATGATCTTCATACTATCACTGTTTATACAGAGACACTACACAGTCTTCAATATTTCATAGGAGACTCAAGAACAGAACATTGCAATATTCTGAGGGGGGAAATCACATGGCAAATTGATGGACAAACAATACAAGCAAACTAAATGTTCATATAACTAGTTTTATCATCTTAAAACATTTCAATGAGGATTGAACTTGCTTTTTGGTAAGCAAAGGAAGAAGAGGGCGCAGTTCAGTGACAGTTCTGCAGCCATAACCAGCATGCAAGCAAATGCCCTGGGCGCTAGCTCAGCACAATACACACACACACACACACACACACACACACACACACACACACCCCAAAACTGATAGATTTTGCACAGGAAATATGTCATAGTGATGAGATCTGTCTAACCTCTGAATAAATACCTCACAAATTTGGAGGTACACCTTTCATGGATACTGTCACAGAACAAATTCAAAACCATGTTAAGCCTCCATACTTCTCAGTACTCATCCCAAGGAAAAAGGCCTGAAGCATGGAGAGACGGCCCTTGAGCTTCTGTGATGCACCAGGTTGGTTGCAGGTTTTGCCTTTTTTTTTTTTTTTTTAAATCTTTAGTGCTATGAAGACTCTTATTTCTGGATTCTTCTGAAAGGGTGAAGTAGGACTGGCAAAACTAGGTGAAATACTGGAATGAATCCAATCCTGGGTGAGCCTGGGAGGCGAGTTTTTGTCTGTGGTGAACCTGGAGGGTAGCAATGCAATGACCCACAGAACCCTAACGGGTTATTGAGGCTCCCTCCCCAGCAAAGGATCACAAGTCCGTGAATGAGAGGCCTACTGTGTGCATCTTTCATCTGGTTTAATGCTCAATAAAGAGCACAGAAGGAGAAACCCACTAGGAAGCCTCCTCTGAGTGTTGTGAGGACTTTAGAAATGGTACAACCATTGATACATTCATCTCTCTTCCTCATCTCTGCAAAGGCAACAATGGGCAGATGGCTCCAGATCCCTTGTAAGAACATTTGTTGTAGCTTTTGAAGACATGAGTTCAAATCCCGGAATCCACATAAAAACCTAGTTGTGGCATTGTGGGACAGAGACAGATGGATGACTGAATCTTAACGACACCAGCCAGCTCCAAGTTGATCGAGACACCTTGTATCTAGGGAATGAGTACTCGGTGTATGACAAAGCATGATCACCTACATCATCTTTTGGCCTCCACACACCTGAAAGACCACATGACCCAGCACAAGTACACACACACACACACACACACACACACACACACACACACACACACAGATACACGTTTAATTGAAAAAAGGTGAACTGGGTTAAAAGAAAGAAAGAAAGGGAGGAAAGAAAGAAGAGAGAAAGGAAGGGAAGGAATGAAGGAGGGAGACAGGGAGGGAAGGGAAGGGAAGGAAGGAAGGAAGGAAGGAAGGAAGGAAGGAAGGAAGGAAGGAAGGAAGATAAAGTCACATAAGCAACAGCTTAATGGCTGAGATTTTAATTTTTGTCTCCTGTCCCATGTCATTTGCACCTAACTTTGATTGGTTTCTCAACAGGTGTTCATGGGTCATTATCTGGCTTCTGGTCATAAAGGTGGGCCATGTCATGCGCAACTCTTCCAAGACAACCTCATGTGCCCTGTGCTCACTGTGGCTCCTCTTAAAGCCAGCAGTGTGAGTCCCTCCCTAGCTCTGTTTTTGCCAGTAGGAGGGGATTCTTTCAAAAGCAACATGTCCCTGGCCTGATGAGGCAAAAATGAAATTTCTTTTAAGAGCGGATATGAATCCTGACCTGAGAGGTGACACTCGAAATAAAACGGTGGCACCTCATGAAAAAGCCTCTGTGTGCTGCCCCACCCCCCATGGAGCAATGTTTCCGTGCTGGCAAAGTCGTCTCTATGTTGATTGGAAAATTTTTCATTATTGGACTAATGAGCCATTGGTCCACACCTGGAATCTTTGCAATGTATAAAAACACTCAAATATAACAGCAGGAATTCAGACAGTGTTTCTCAAAAAAAAAAAAAAAAAAAAAAAGATGCAAAATTATAGACCATACATATGATTTTCACAGCAATCCAAGCCTGAGATTCATATTATTAAACTCAGTTTCCGCCTGTTTATCATTATAATACTAGTTATTTGACATATTACACTTTTAGATTTCCTATCTTCAGTCCTAAAGCAAATAACTATGTCATCTTTGATTTAAATACTAGCCTGTGTGTAACTTTGAAGTGAATACATAATGTTGCAAAAATTCAAATATTCCTGAATGTGTTAATCATTTAAATTACATTATTAACTTGTGTTCATAATATCAAATGTAGGAAACAGGGAGAGCGGGCAGAAAACGAAACACAACAAGTAATATAAGCAAACTCCTTTTGACAAAACAAAAACGCTTGGTTTGTTAAAGTTCTTCACAACAACAATGGACAACAGCTTCCCCACAGTTCATAAAGTAACTTTTTCCTATCATTTTATTACTGTGTTAAAGCGGGAGCATTGAAAAGAACCAATAAAACCAATTTCATAAATCCAATGCTTTATTATATTGAGACTAAAAGAATCCATTGCATATGCCAGCATTTCTAAAAGATTTAAGTTAACACATTTTCTTGTTTAAAAGTAATATTGCCATGATCTACTAGGTAGATTGTCACCTCTTACCTCTGTGGTCACTTCAGGCCTGATCTACAAAACACCTGCATGAGCATTTTTTTCTATGTGAACAACACTGAAGAACATAAATAATGGGTGTCAGGAAAATCCATTTAGAAATTAATAAACGATAGCTTTCCCTACTTAGAATTAAAACTCCTTAAGTGTAGACTTATTTCTTTGAAATTTATGTCCCTTTTGAAGACTTTTCTCACAATTACTTCTAAATTTAAACATTTTGTTGAGACTGGTATTATAACTCAGTTATAGAAATTCTATGTCTTTCTTAAAGATAGGGAAAGCTGATAGAAATCTTTATGAAAATTTTCACACTGCAAAGAGTATTCATTCATGAATAAGATAAATTTTATTTCAGACCTTGTAAAATATATACCTCAGAAGCAAATTAAGAATTGAAACTTCTAAGACAAGGTTTTTAAAAAAATAAAAATAAATGGCAAAAAGTCCTGGCAAAAGAATTTAAGTTTTCTGGAATATAGGAAACCAGTATACATAAAACATGTGCCTAGAGACTGTTGAGAATTACAGTATTTTGTAAATTTATAAGACATAAAATAAGAAACAGGGAAAATAAGGAATCTAGCACTTTCTATACCAGAGCTCAGTATAATGAAAAGAATTTAGCTTCTACAAAATGAATCCAACAGTTTCTCTTAAAATAACAAAGTAAGAATAAAGCCACTTTAACAGAAAAGAAGATTACACCCTTCTAGTCCTCCTGTGTCTGAGAAGGAAAACGTGAAGTAACAGTGTCTTACCTTCTGTACTTGGGGAGAAACTAATTATTATGATCAACCACAGGCTTCGCATTCTGCAACCAGAAGACACCATTATTGATTCCTTTAAATATTTTCTTTGTATTCCTTAATGAATCTAGTTATAAATGTCCAGCTTCATCGAACCCAGCAGTCTGCATCATTGATCCTCATATCTGAAAAAAAAAAACAAACAAATCCATCACTTACTTTAAGACCTTCCTATGTCGTCATTGCAAAGGCAGAAGCAACGACCCTCTGCCTTGCCCTCCATTTCATAAGTATAAAATCCATCCTGAATGCATAGCTATTCTTATGCATATAGTACCTGAGACACTGGAAAAAGAGAAGCTCCCCCAAATGTATAGACAATTATATTCATAACTGTATTATAATTTTTTCTAATAATGATGCTCTCTTAGGAAAGTGTGAAAGCTTAGGAAAATCACTTGAGATAATAATACATGCATCTCTCCTTGACATTAACCTTTTGATTAAAGAACTAGCTCTAGAATACATAATACTTCTAAATAAATGTATAAACACATGAGCATTTGTTGATCATGGTAACAACAATAAAATTTAATATTTCCCCAGTTGTCTTGCAAGATAGATTGTAGATCTGATGAGTTCATTTTTCTAAACGAAGGTAAATGGCTGTTAACATATGGGTGTATGTTCATTTACAACACAGGCAATCAAAATACCATCTTCAACCATTACTTCCCTGCTAATTACTCATGGAATGAACAGTTAGTTATTGTCTCAAAACTACTTCCTTTTATCATTTTATGTTTCCTAACATGGCTTTTCTTTAAGTAAAGTGTAACTTAAGATCAAAGTAACATCACTGCATCTCCTGGGCACAAAAATACCCAAAGATTCTAAGTACTGTGTCTTCAAGGGCGTTGGGGTGTCTCTTCTCTTCTTTTTGAAGAAGTATCTAATTCTAGGTTATTCTGAAATTCATGAACTTCCTGCCCCAGCCTGAGCATGGGCAGTAGAGGTGTGTGTCACAAGACTGGATGGCACCACCTTTTAGAAATAACTGATAAAGGGATGGGTCTATTGTGATGATCTCTCATGGGTCCCAGCTTCTCAAACAGCAGAGTACAAAAGAATGAGGAGTGTGGCTTCAAAGTATCCACAGCTCCTAGCACAACATGAAAAGAAATCATTTCAAGTCTTCCAGCCAACTGGTTTACCTCTTTGTGAGACGATATAAGGAGTCATAGAGCCTTATAACAGACATGAAATGAAGACAGTTCCCAAATATACCTGAACTTCCTGACATAGCTTCCCATGATAAGGAAGTTACCACGCCCCCCAAAAAGTCCCTTTCACAAGTTGCAACTGTGAAGTTGCTGCAGTGTTTGCTGCTGGGGGCCTGGACTGGGGATCAAATGCAAGGCCTAATCTGTGCTAGGAGAGCATTCCACCACCGATCTACCAAGCCTAACCTTAACTGGAGTTCTATAAAGTATGGACACGAAGGCATCCTTGCCTCTCTCAGGTTGTGTACATGAATTATAACAAGTTCTTAGTAATTTGCATACTATCACTAAAACATGAAAAAATAACAGCAAAACAAAATTTCCCCACTAATCAAGTATTCTGTCACATCATCTGAATTACTCATATCTGTTAGAAGCTCCATGTACCACATTCTATTAGCAGTTTTCTCTATTCCATTAGGCTTCACCATGATATAACTTCAATGGAAAAGCGGTCAGATTCTAAATGGTTTGAAACATAACATTCATCAAACTACAAAGGGATTATCACAGCTGTCACCAACAAATATACCAAAAAGGATGTAAGAAACAAATTACTCCAAATCTACTCTCTAGCATTTGCATATAAAAACCCACAAAAGTCTCAGATGAAAAGCTATCAAGACATTTCTATTATGAGAAATTGGTTTTATCATGCCTACAGGTTAAGGGATAAAACTATGTCTGGATACATATATACACTTCAGCCCATATTTTAGCTCTGTGAGAACACTGAAGAGATCTCAGGAATGGTCATAATGAAGGGAACACAGGAGATTATATACCCCGAAAAGCTTCTCTATCAAAAGAAATAAAACAAAAACAAGAGGCGGCATATTTCTTCCTCCTCTGAATGCAAACAACACAGGAAGCAGGAAGGCATCGAAACTTAATCAGATGGAGACAGGACACACCTCCATATGCAGAACTAGCCAGCTCTCTGACTATCTTTCCCAGGGTTAGTCAGAAGGCAACCTGAAATAAATGTGCAGGTTACGCTCCCAGGTCAAAGTTCCTGTGGCAACACGGAAAGTTATTCTGCATTAGAGAGATTAAAAAGCTCGTGCTCTGACACACCCAGGTGCTCATCAACGAATACTGTCTCGCACACTTCAATCTATGTAGTCACCTGATCAAGCGTTTGAGAAATAATTTCAATATGCAAATGATATGCACTCATTGCTACAATTAAAACTGAGCCAGTCTGTGGACGGCTCCATGCTCAAGCAAGGAATTTTGCTTATCCAAGTTTTCCTTGCAATAGGTCCTTTCCTCTCTCTGAGCGTCCCACAAGGCAGCTTTGCCCACTCCACCACTCTCCTCCTTTCCAGCTTCTTAGAGCGGTCCAAGATCTGCCTTTCTTTGCTCACCCACTATTTGAAAGAGTCCTTGTTTGTGGGAAGAAAAGGAAGGAAGGAATCAAGGACTGATATCTGCCTTGTAGGAAACAGCTGCCAAGATAGGATAGCCTGTGTGAGTGAGAGGGGAAGGCAAGAGAAACCGCACAACCAAGACCTCTATTGTGGTCTTTGGCCAGCACTACTACTTCAGAAACAGATTTTACACACTCAAATTCCATGTTCTCTTAAGGCTTGAGACTGTGAAACACACTTCACAACGCACAGTCCACTTGACAAGGAGACTCGGTGTAAATGTCTGTGTCTGGCAAATAGAAAACTCTGGAATGTATAGAGTCATGGCTTCTTTTATGCAACTAAAGATGGGGTTCATCTGCCCGTGCAGTTAAGTAAAAAGAATATCAAATTTATTTTCCTCATTCGACAACCTATAACGAATCACTTTCACATCACATGAAATTATTTCCAGAAGTTCATACTTTGAGTGCAGTTTCTGAAAACTAAGTCAGAAGATTTTACTGCTCTGATCCAAATTAAAAACAACCCTTCATTGAACAAATTTTAATGAAAACTGGAATACTTGCAAACCACTATCAGCTAAGAATAAATACGGTGAAAGAAATCCAGGGAAGCTTCGCTCCTAAAATAAGCTGGGCCTTAAGGAAACTCACGTGCATATGTGAGGTTACCAGACCTTCGAAGCACCTACAGAACACCAGGGAAACACTCCGCAATGCCTGCCACGCTAGTGTGTACCTACAATCTGAACAAGCTAGAGCCTGAAGTGGAGAGATCACAGTTCAAGACTCCGATGGGCTACGGGGGGGGGGGGGGGGGGGGGGGGGAGTGTGCGGCTGTAACTCAAGAAATGGAGGGGGCATATGCATTTCTCACAAAGCAAAATAAAACTTAGGAACAGAAGCAGAAATGGGCTATTGGATATCCTTCCAATGAACAAAAGATTGCTTTAATGCCTCAGAGTAACTACTTATTTGTATTTAGATTTTTAGACAATCTTTTTCCAAACACATCAGAAAGCTTAGCATGGCAAGGGGGAAGAATGGGCTGGGTTTATGTCTTAGGAAAACTAGAGAGAGCACAGAACCCCTGAAATTAGCTATAATTACAACTGTCAACACATCAGAGCTTCTGACGGACAAGCGCCCATGCTTTCGTCTCCTCGACATAAGGAGTCCAGTTGTTTCGTCCTAATCTTGCTTCTGTGAACCACAAGCCATTGTCTACAAACCTCAGTAGTGACCTCTTTAGCTCTGCACAACCTATTACTCAGCCATGTAAAAAGTCAATTAATGCATCCCTTACTAGGAAAGCCTCCCCAGCCGGGGAGTGACTTCCAGGAATATGCCTCAGCACTATGTTCATCCCAACAGCCCTGGATGCTGCAGACTCCTCGGCTGTGGTCTTTCAGACAGTAACCTGCTTTTGTGTTTACTAGCTGCAGCAAACACCCCCGTGCCTTAAACTGTGAGAGAAACTACTTAAAAGGGAAGACACCAATGACCAGCTCTCAGTCACCGCATCTACCCTAATGATGTGACATTTGTTTAGCAAGTACAGAGGGTGGAAGGCAGAACCGCCGACAGGCATGGAATTTAGCATCAATGACAATTAAAGGGAAAGAAAACTGGACTAAAATTTGCTAAAACTGAGAATGGATGTGGGATATCTACCCAAAGGAAGGTAACTACAAAGAGTCACGTAAGCTGATCTCCACTCGGGGACGCTGAACTCCTCAGAGTGCTGGATACTAAACACAAAGAGAAACCTTCAGACAGCAAGCGGGGGGAGAAAAATCTTTCCCTGAGAACAGCCAAAGGCACAGTCATGCTGCACAAAACCAAGCAAGCACAGCCCGGATCCGCCTTAAGTGTTACACACTAATGTATGGCATGTATGTCCACTCTACATGAAAACCAAGGATGGCCTCACAAAAACCAGTCTTTCTGATCTCATTTCCACTATAAAGTTGTCATCATTATCGGGTAGGATTTCCCAGCTTTTTTTTTTTTTTTAAGGGGGGGCAGCCTTTCCATATTTTACTAACATAAATGCAAAAGTCTCCCTCCCTTTCTCAACCACAATAACTTACAGAATTTGGACTAACTTAGCTAAAATGCAGTCAGGGTTTTTTTTCATTTGCAGAAGTGATTTGGTTCCTCCCACTACAGGCAGGCTGGACTCAGCCCTCTTGCTCAGACCCAAGAAAACACCAACAGCTCTGGGAGCTTTCCAAACAGATTCCCTGAGTGAACCTTTGAAAGCACTAACCAGGGAAGCTTTCTCAGCATCAGACACTTCTTTGGGGTTGGAGTTTGGCTATGTTATTTTTCCCCTCCCCAAGGACAGCATCAGGGTGGAGGTGGCAAGGCCGAGAAATTAAAGTCACATGACCAACCAGTAGTCCCCACCCTCTCACTCCCTCCATCTAATCCTTGTTATCAGGACAGCAGCAGTCCTTCTTCAACACTCCATGCTAAGGTCCCTGTAAGAGCCATGATCCGTCTCACCCTTAACTGAAACTTC